CACTTAAATGGCAAATATCCAGAAATAAAAGATGCAATCAACTCGGTTACAAATACTTATAAAAATAAGCTGTAAAATATCTGGAAAAGCGAAAAGTTTGGAAAAGTTTGAAATTTTTAGCCAAATGAAAATTATCCACGGATTTTTTTCCTTCTATTTGCGAACGTTATGACGATTTGTGATTCTCGGATGGATATGGATTTGTGCCTATTTATTCAAAATCTTTCCAAGTGTCTCTTTTGTACTATTAATTGCCATTGCTTTTTTTGCTATTTCTTAAGGCTATTTTATGCTAAATTAGTGAAGGCTACCGCATTCTGTTGCATAATGTTTTCAATTTAATCAATCAACTATTCATTTCCTAAGGGCAATTTTAAATTGCGATTGAATTTTTTTTGTAATAGTCAACGACGAAATGTCGTTTCGTTTTATACATTATTGCCAATAAAAAGTATTTCAATTGATTCATTAGAATAAAATTTCGACAATGTTCTCTCTATTAAAATCACTTTATTAATGTTCAAAGCTTTTCCCAAAGCCTTTCATTTGCGATATTTTCCTTAGGCAATGAAATGATATTTCTACATTCAAAAATAATTAGAACATTTTCAGAAATTTTAGCAATTACCATTGGATTTTACAAAATTAGCACTGCTAATTTGACGTTTTCAATGGTTAATTGAATGCAAAATTTTTTCCTCTTCCAACATTTCCAAAACTTTGAAATATTAATTGCGAGCTTTTTTTTAAATCCATTTTTTATTTATTGAAATTAAATGCGAAAAAAAATTCAAAAAACAATGATTAAATTATTTCCACTTATTTAATTAATTAAATGCTTTAAATTTATTTGTGAAAATTCACGTTTTATTGTTTTTTATATCTAAATATTTTTATATCTAAAATATATTAAAATAATGTTGCCTTAGTTGTATTTTGATATTCAAGAAATTCTTCTTTGATGCATTCTCTGCCATTTACAGCAAAATAATTTTTAGCACAAATACATCGTTGCCAGCATTGATACAAGGGAAATGAATTGTGAAGACGAACTGCTTTGAAAATTAATCTAAATACCATATTTGTACCACATTTTTGATTGGTTTTACTGCAATCAAAATCAGCGATCTCCTCGCCATATGCACATTCTTCAAGCTTACTCGCACATATACTCGCACCACTACCAAATTGAAGAAAAACCTTCAATACGAAATTTTTTTTAGGTGCCTTATAAAATTATTAGATAGTGACCAATACGATGCTACTGAATTTTTTTGCGAGTTAACTTTTTCGATCACCAAAAATTTTCATGGATTTATTACGAAACCAACTTCCGCAAGTTGTTCTCAAGAAAAAAATTGTCCGTGAAATCGTGAGAAAATACTAACAAAAAATGCAGAAAACAGAAAATAGCTAATAAAAATTTTTTAATACAATAAAAAAATTCACTAGTTGTAATGCAAAAAGTAGCAGCGGAAGCAAACATCTCTGAACGGTTGAAAATCTTATGGGCAACGACCATCCGCAAAACCGATTTTTGGGATTTATTGGTAATCTTTTTACGGTGACTATGATAGTATTCTATGTTTTATTCTTATTCTTATCGAATTGACAGTGTTCCATTGAATTTCAGAAATTTACCAAAAGTGTTCAGTGCATCGATTACAAAGAAAATGGCTGTTGCAATTTTTTATGAGTTTTCACACATTTTTTAAGTAACATTGTTGAAAAAAATGGCATCTCATATACTTTCGTGTTAATCCTTCTTATTGCTTCGCTGTCACTGCAGTTTAATATAAAATATCGTACAAATATTCTTGTCATGAAAGAGATTAATGTTTTCGTGAAATATCACTGATAAATCCGACAGGCATTTTGGTTTCAGTGCAGCGATATTGATTTCTGGAATATTTCTCGAAAATTTCTGTTGAGAATCCTATTGCCATTCAATTGTTTTTCGGCTATTCAAAGCGACACTGTTCATTTTGTGAATATATAATTTATAATTGTCTTTTTTATATATAAAACTATTTTTTGCAGTCGAAAATTTTATATCAAAAAATTTGGTAAATTTAATGCGCATAAATTTGGCTTTTTTAATTTGAATTCATTAAATAATTAAAATAAATTCAGAGACGGAAATTATAAATATTATAAATTATAAATTTGCTATTATCATAAATTTTTATAATTTTATTCAATACTTACTTAATATTAATATTAATTAATATTAATATTTAATATTTAATTTTTCATTTTTCTTTCTTCTTGAAATTTTTAAAAAAGATAGTAATTTTTGAAAATCATTCTAATTATTTAGAATTTCTATTTGTATTCGTATGCTTAAAAATTTTTTTAAACTTGGTTTTAAATTTTCA